AAAATTTTATATTAATCCAAGATGATTTGATACTTCATTTTTATAAAACAAAATTGACGTAATATATTCATTTCAAAATACAAATATGAACACTTTGATTACGTTTAAGTTGTTGTTCAATTTTAACAAAATTTGATATACACATATAAAGTGATATGAACTTTCAATCTAAGAGTTGGATTTACAAAATTCACATTTAATATAAAGTTATTGAGCGGTGTAATACATAGTAAAAGTTACACTAGTATAATTATGACCCCTATATATATATATATATATATATTATATATATATATATATATATTTCTCTATTTTTCTTTCATAAGTATAAATTAAGGCAATGATAATTTTCATCTATCAACCTATACTATTTTTTTTAATAAATATTAGGGGGTTAAAAAAATATTTTAAAGTAATTTTGATAAAAAAATTTTAAAAAATGAGGGACGATGACCCCTTCATGTCTCCCTCTCTATGTCTCTATTTATTAGTTCTTAGTTTGACAAATAAAGTTCTCGATCAAACTATTACTAAGTGGGCAATAGTATAATTTAAAAAATTTTAACATATCATTAACTCATATTTAATAATTATGAGGTGTCATTCCCTGTCTATCATTTTACTCATCCAAATTATGTAATGTTGGTAATTGGATTAGAATATTACAAGAACTTAAACATGTATATATTCTTTATTACTTCTTTTAAATGTAGAGATAGTGATGATCCACCTTATAAATTTATTACTAACACACTTAGATTAGGGGTGGGCAAAACGAACTGAACTGAACTGAACTTATAAAAACTATACTGAACTTAAAAGTAGTTCATATGAACTGAACTAAACTAAATATTAGTTCAGACGAACTGAACTGAACTATTCTTTTGTGTCATTGAACTGAACTGAACTATACTATAAAAACTTGAACTGAACTGCAATTTAAACTGCACTAAACTGTTATGATATTTTGAATTGAACAATTTTGACTCATTGATCTATCAAAATAGGACACATTTGTCAACTTTACTTTATTTTCCATTTTATTTAAATTTTTCAAAGGAAAAAAATATAAAATTAAGTCAAACAAACTCAGTGAATTTTAAGCCTAAAAATAAGTAGTTCAACATAGCTCAATTGATCCGTTAAGTTCAACAAAATTGATACAATTTTTTTTCAAATCACTTTTTTTCTAAAATTTTGGTTATTAGACTATCGAGCTAATCTATTAAGACATAACATGTTAAACATATTTAATTTTTATTCTTTTATAAAAATAGTTCAATTTTTATAATTCAGTTCAGTTTTTATAGTTCAGTACAGTTCAACTTTACAACAGTTCAGTTCAGTTCAGTTTTTTTTAAACAGTTCAGTTCAGTTTTTTTTACAAACAGTTCAGTTTTTTATAGTACAGTTCACCACCAGTTCAGTTCAGTTCAGCTCAGTTTAGTTTTTTTTGCCCACCCCTAACTTAGATCATGTATACCGAACTTAATTTTGTATTTTCCTTGTCTTAGGCCAGAAGAGCATGTGATGCGACAATGTTGGTGCACACTATGAAAAAAAAAATAAGGCGAGATTCCCTTCAGATTCTTGTTTTTATAACCTCCATCCCATAGTGTGGCAGTTGATTTGCTAAAGAATTTTCCATTGTTGGCTTCAATGAACAATATGCGTCACCTTTCCTCAAACAAACATTGCTCGGTTACTCACCATTGCATATTTGGTTTAAATAAGAAATAATCGCTTAATTTTTACCCATTTTATGAAAGAACTTTTGAAATAATGAAGCGAATATTCCCCTAACAGAAAAGACATTTGAAACATGCTAAATTACACGAGTCTGACGGACTGAGCAAAATAAATAAATAAAGAATATAGGTATCATTCCAAACTTTCATGTTGTGCAGCTACAAGTTGTGTCTGTGTGGATGCATCATAAGATTCATAATTAAACTAACCATCATTTAGTAGTTAGCATTTAGTAGTTAGTACTTGCAGAACACCATGCAGAATATACCTTAAACCAAGGAAACATTATTATGTTTTAATTTATCAAAATGAAAGGTGGGCAAAACTAATATAGGTCGGGTTTTAGTTGAAAATGTTGGGTCAAACCCAAATCAATTTAGAAAAAATAGGCTCATTTTTTTTATCGTGACAGTACTTTAAATTATTTGAGTTTGGATTAGTCGAATTTCGGATTATATGGGTTGATTGAATCGGATTTTCACCTTCTCTTTTTTTATTAATTAATTTTTATTTATTCAGAGAGAGAAGAGGGATATCATGGAAGATGAGAGAGAAATGAGTTAGAAAAAAAATGTAATAGGAGAAAGATAAATGAGTTAGAGAAAAAATTTAATAAGAAAGAGAAATGAGTTGAAGAAAAAATTTAATAGAAAAGAAAAATGAGATAGAGAATAAAATTAATAAGAGAGAGAAAATATTTTATTTTATTTTTTAAATTAAATTAAATTACTATAATATTCTTTATACAAATTAATCAAATAAAAAATAAATGAGTAATTTTCTTGTCCTAAAATTTTGGTGTATAAATAAAAATATATTAACAATCTCATATATA